CTCCCCCCCCCCCCGCACCCCCCACATTCAACCCAACCCCGGAAAGAAGCATTGCACAGACAGAGGACGCCGGTTCCCAGCTGAAAGGTTACCGAAGGACAGGGTGATCTGCCAGGCAGTTCCTGAGCTTGCTCAAGAACTTTTTTGGGGCAAAGCACTTTTGAGCCGGAAGCAACCCTGGTGGGCTCAGACCTTCAGGGCCTCATTTCGTGACTGTCACAACTTGCCCACTGCTGGAGAGACAGCCGCTGCCCTCGGACTCCCGGCAGCCGTGGTGGTCACCCAGCCCAGGGGAGGGCTTCAGAAAGCTGACCCTGCTCCGGCCAAGGCCCGATAACGGGCCAGGCTACGGCCTGTAGATCTTAATGACGTCCTTGATGGGCCGCCGGCAGATGGGGCAGCAGGCCCGGGCCTGCCGCTTGAGCCGCAGGCCGCAGCTGTGGCACAGGCACATGTGTCCGCATGTGTAGATGACCGTGTCTACCTCGCCATCGAAGCACACTGTGCACTCGCCGTTCTTGCTGCCTGCCGGCTCCAGTGGGGAGAATGCTGGGGACACCGGGGGGCTCAGCGGGGAGCTGGGGGCTGTCACTGCCAGAAAGGAGAACAGACAGACGGGAATAATGGGCTGGGGGGGGGGCTCTGCTGGAGCAACCCCAGGATGGCAGAACTCCTTGGGGGAACTGGCAGGGGAACAATTTTGGGAGATGCCAATTTTAGTTTGACTTCTGGGTTCTGTATCTTTTTCTACCCTTCTGCCTTCTGCCCAGGCACCAAGATCATTGCCCTCTGTGATGCCCTATCTAGATGGTTCCCTCGCTCCAGTGGGACATACGGCTGTGGGAAGGAGAGGGTGCAGGGGAGAGGCCGCTGGCACAGCTGAGGAGCCAGGCCAGCCACCGGCCCACCCCCACCGGGGTTTGCGTTTTCTTACCCAGGGATGACTCGGACGCCGAGGAGGACTGGTTGACACTGAAGGTCATATCTGAATCACTGTCATCCTGGGAGCCGCTGAGGGACCCTGATGGAGTCGTGGACACAGGACTGGACTGCAGGGTACCTGAGACCCAGAGAGACTCCATTAGGGGCCGTGGGAGGCTGGGCCTGCCCCGCTGAGTCCCTGATTCTTCACCGCTTAGTGCGAGATTCCCCTGGTGTCTAGTGAGAGGCCCGGAGTCGCCTCCCTGGGTTCGCTGAGGACTGCTGAGCTCACACCATGGTGGCGGACGTCTGCTCTTAGCCCACCCTGTCTCCATTCCCATTTCTTCCAGAAACAGCCCTGGGATGTTCCTTGGGGGCACCACTTCACTCTTCCTCCCACCGTTCAGGCCAGGCCAGTAGGAATTTCCACTCCCTGGTCTCAGTGGCAGTTTGGGGAAGGGCATGTCACCCACGCAAAGCCACTGAGGCCCAATTCTGTGATTTTCACCGGAGCTGCCGGGAAAGAGGGGCTTCTTCCACAGAGAGGAGATGCCGTGGCCAGGGCCTGTCTGAGGTGATGCCAACAGTGGCAAGCAGGACTTTGTCCGCCTGATGAAACCCTGATGACAGCCTTTCAACACCTAGATTCAGCTGTTCCTGAATGTGCCCAATAGACTCCCAGACTTTCGAGTTACATGCACCCACAAATTTCCTTTTTTGCTAAGCTGTAAGTTAGGGTAGTTTGGGTGGGGGGAGGGCTGTCACTTGCAGCTACAAGATCCCTGACTACTGGTGTTCAACATGGGTGAGCTTTCTTTCCCAAGCTCGCTGTTGGCTTAGACCATAACAGGCTATTTCTTAGGATGAGCGAGGCCTCTTGCTCTACTTGAGGATGGATGGACAGATAATGGACAATTCATCTTGGGCTGAAATGGTGACTATTTTCTGGAGGTTCCTCAAAAAAGCAAAATCAACCACTGTCGCCCTGCTTGTCTTCTGCCCTCATTCAGACAGGGACACCAATTAAACACGGGGCTTGTCAGGCCATGGTGGGGACATTATATGCCCACATTACTTCATCCTCACGGCCCATGAAGCAGGTATCACTTTCTTTCGACACAGAAGGAAATTGAGGCCCAGGAGAGTGTGTGATTTGTCCAGCAGCTTCAAGGCTGACCAACTAAGTGACTCTGGGACATTCAATCAACCTGAGCTTCAATGTTCTTTTCTGTATAGGAGGATAATGATACTGATTTCATAGGGTCGTCAGAAGGATAACATTCAATGAGGTAACAACACTGGAATTGTCGATGGCTGTTATTATTTGGACACCTTGAGCCACGAAATTGGGCTGTGCTGTCTGGGAAGCCTTCCCCAACCAGCACCCACACTCCACCAAGCTGGGAGAGAAGCCCCTCTGCGGCAGCAGCTATCAAACACGTGCACTCTCCATGCAGGTGGCTAAGCTCCTGGGAGGCACGGTCTGTGTCCAGTCTGTGTCCTATCCTCTGCTGGCCTGACCCTGGAGCCCAGGCCTGGCCCGCATCTGGTGGGTGCTCCCTGCCTATTTGCGGCACGAATGAAGGCAAGAATCATCCCAGCGTAGGATGGCTCAAGCCCCATTCCACTTTCCGTGGACGGCGCTATTCTTATTTCCTCTTTCGTGTGCGGTCGAATTTATTTCCCCGCCACACCTCTGTGCATTACCTGTGTAGAAGTCATGACAAGGGAACTAAAGGTGGCAGCGACATCCGCCGCCTGCACACAGCCTGCCAAGCCCCGAGCCCCGTCGGTCACCACCGGGCGGGTGGCTTAGGGCACGTGGATCCGGAAACCCCACAACAGCATTCCCGGGGCACCGGCCAGAAACGCACGCTCCGGGCGCACCCCGGGCCTACTGAATCCGGGGCTCTGCGGGGGAGCTG